CATGTGCTGTTTCGCTTATGAAGAGGGGAGCCAGGGAGCAGGGAGAGCTGGAAGGGGCCCCTGCAGGGCTGGGCTGACTCCCTACCTGGGGTCTGGCCCGGGCAGGGAGAGGGCAGCCGGGGAAGCCTCCTGGTCATGCTCACCAGCCCACCCCGGGCATTTGGTGCAGCACAGCTGCTGCCATGGCCGCTCCCAGCACCGGCAGGGCTGGCGCAGGCCTGGCTCATGCCCTGCCCTTGGCCCAGTGCGCCTGCCCGCTCCCTGTGGCCTGGAGCTGCTCCTCACCCCTCCCCCTTCCCCGCCAGCTGAGCATCCTCTGAGGTGACAAGGCCCACGCCCCCCGCTCCCCCCACTGCTCAGCATGTGGCCGGCTGCAGTCACTTACGGGTTGGACTCTGCTCCAGTGCCTGACGGGCAGCACCCGTCTCTCCCCGGAACCCTCGGTACCCAGGAGGCTCCTGGCATGTGGAGGGAGCCAGGCAAGTGGGGGGAGACAAGGGGGGGCTTAGGCTCTGTGATCTGAGCGGGCAGATCTCTGCTTGACTGGCATGAATCATGAGCACTGAGAAACATGAGTTCACAGACACGAGTACACACAGACACAGAGACATACACACAGCATACAATACATGCACATGCACACAACACATATACACAAAAGCACACAGACACATACACACACAGAGACATACAACATATAATACATGCACGTGCACACAACACATATACACACAAAAGTAGACACATACATATACACACAGAGACATACACACACAACACATGATACATACACATGTACACGATGCACATACACAAAAGTACAGACACATAACATACATGTACACAGAGAAACACACAGACACATGGTATCCCACCAGTGCCTGCCCGCCAGCACCCTCCCTGCCCCTGCCCAGATGGTGGCAGAGCCCAGGTCCACAGCCCCATTTCCACCTCCTCTCCCTTCCCTGTCACTCATTTCTCCTGCCGGTGCCTCCTTAATGAGAGGAAGCATTTGGCTAGAGAGAAGCTGAGGAAGGAGACCTTTGAAATGGAAATGTTGTGACAGGATGATGGATTGTTTTCTGAGCCATGTGGTTTGTTTCTTGTTGGAAGGAGAATAGAGCCAAGCGAGAGAGGTTGCCCAGGTCGGCGAGCCCTGGACCCCGAAAAGACAGGTGGAGAGCGGCAGCAGGCAGAGGGGCCGTGGGCCGAGGGGCAGCCTGGGGCAGGCAGAGGGACGAGGCTGGCTACTGCCCAGTAGCCCTGGTCATGGTTGGGGGCCCCAAATAGCCAGGACATGCAGCACCTCCCTGCTGAGGGACATCTGGTCTGTCCTGTCCTCTGAGCACCTGCTCATGCTGTTCCCTTTGCCTGAGGCTCCTTTCCACTGTCTCCCACCTGGGAACTGCTCTTCCTCCTTCAGAACCAGCAGAAAGGTCACTCCTCCGAGAAGACCCCTCCCACCGCAGGAGGATGCTGGCTGGCTCCTGGCCACTGGGTGTACTCGGGGCTGATTAGAATTGCCACCGGTCTTATTTATTTAAAAGGGTGTTTTTTGTACCTACTGTGCGAAGCACTGTTCCGTGTACTGTGTCCATCAGAGGGCACAGCAGAGGGTCCCCCCCCACCCAGGGAGTGCTGTGGGGGACGCAGACAACGGAGATGATAAGTGTGTAAACCGTTGGTGTATCACATGGTTTTAAGCGTCACGGGAAAAGGATGCTGAGGTGGGAAGGGAAGGCTCAAAGCCATGAGCGGTAAGGCGTGTGGATAGGAGGAGAGACAGGCATGATGGGTAAAGTGTGTGCAGATGAATCCACCCTCCATAAATAGAGTGACCAGCAAGCAAACGTGGATATGTTATTTTTTGTTTATGCCGCCCTTCTTTCTAATGAGATGACCCCCTCGCGGAGGGCAGGAGTCACATTAACATCATTTTGTATCCTGCCCGGCACATAGTGTTTGACGCAGAATAATTAATTGTTCAGTAGACAATAAACAAACCACAAACTGTCCTCTCTAAGCTCCAAATCAGGGCTGGGGCGGTCAGGTGTCAGCGCTTGTCCTGGAGCGCCCCCTAGTGGTGAAATCTCAAACGCCCGCTTTGTGCACCTTGTTTTATATCCTGCAACGTTCCTACTCCTCCTCCCCACCCCAGGTTCCCAGGGCAATGGCCAGGCAAACAATAGGATTTACTAAGTGCCTACTATGCACAAGGCACAATGCAGGAGGCACAGACATAGCAGGCCTGGTCCCTGTCCCGAAACCCCGCAGTCAGTGGACGTCGCGCTGGGTAGCTTTTTCTTTCTCAGTCTTTGTTCTCTGGTGCCCGCCCTCTCGGATCTTTCTGGATCATCCGTGATAGCAGACGTGCATCTTGGACTAGAGCTGGCCCGGCAAGGATGTGCCTGTTGTGTGTGCCCGAGGGGTGTGGGGGTAGCATCAGCCCCTGGAGTCGGTGGCACGGCCCTTCACCCCAAGGAGCGACAGCTCCGGGGAGCTTGGAGGGCAGCCAGGACCTGGTGCCTTACGCACTCCCTGCAGTTTCGGGGTTGAAGCTGTCTCCCCATCTGGCTTGTGGAATTGTGCCCCCTTTTCGGGGACTGCGCATGGCCCGGCCACCTCCTCTGGGCTGGCGGCCTTGGTTTCCTCAGTGCCAGCGCCGAAGCTCCATCCGTAGGGGCTGAGCCTCCCCCGCCTTTTGTCCTTGCCTCTCCTCTGGCCCAGCCGCGAAACCCGAGAGCCCCTTTCTTTCCCGGGCCGCGTTTAGCGCTGAGACCAGAATAACTGCGTCCTGGGAGCTTTATTTTTAGGGCTTGTGAGAGGGAACAAGGAGCCTCTGGAGACAGGTGTCTCCTGTGTCCAGGAGTGTCCTGGGTGGGGGCCAGCCACACCCCCTGCAGCTCTGAACTGTGGCCTGGGATGTCCTGCCGGTCAGCCCAAATCTTAGCTGTCCCCGTATCCGCTCCCTGGGGGGCATTTCTGATCCAGAGAGAGTCATCATAAGCAATGAAGGGGTTTGTGGGCAGACTAGCTGTTCAGATGCCCAGGCGGTGTCCCTGGGGCTCCCCGAGTCCCCCTGGTGGCCAGTGTCTGGTCCTCAGCTTCTGAGAGAGGGAGGCAGGTGGCTCCAAGCTGAAGGGGAGCTTGGGCCAGAGCTCCAGTACCTGGCCCGTGGCCCGTGGCCCTGGTGAGTTGGCATAACATACAAACAGTAGGGCATCTCCAAGGACTTTCCCAAGTCCACACGTTTCCAGGGAGACCAGGCCAGAGAGGGAGAGAATGGACTGGAATCTGGGGAACTTCAGAAACCATTGGCTTGGGCCTGCGAGGCAGATGAATGGATCGATTGAATGAACTGGGATCTGGGGAACTTCAGAAACCATTGGCTTGGCCTGCCAGGCAGATGAATGGATTGATTGACAGGCCGGTGCAGAAGGTGCCATGCAGATATCTTAGTTTCTTGGTGGCAGTTGGGCTATGGACTTGGCTCGGATTCCAAGGACTTATTTAGACCTGAGTAGAGAGGCCGGGCTTTCTACTGCCCAGGGGGTGCTCCCTGGCAAAGGTCGCTGGGACCCTCTCTCCTCAGACCACCCTGACGTCTGTGCCTTCCTACTCGTCTCCCGTGGTGTGTTTGTTCAGGCTGCCATAAGCAGACACCACCTATGGTTGCTATAGGCAACACAATTTCCCCTCACAGTCTGGAGGCTGGAAGTCCAAGATCAGGGTGTCGGTAGGGTTGGTTTCTCCCAAGGCCTCTCTCCTCGGCTTGCCGACAGCCGCCTTCTCTCTGTGTCCTCGCCTGCCTCCCCTGTGCCCGCACATCCCTGGTGTCTCCTCCCCTTAAGGACATCGGCCCTATGGGATTAGGGCCCCGCCTTTATGACCTTATTTAACCTTAGTGGCCTCTTTACAGACCCTGGCTCCAAAGCCAGTCACAGTGGGGATTAAGGCCTCAACACATGGCTTTTGGAGGCACATAACATAGTCTTAGGAGGGGTGCCCTTTCTCCCCACTGCCTGTCAGCCCCACACCATCCTTCCGCCCATCACGCCTTCCCCTTCTAGCCCTGAGAGGTAGCCCCTCCCCCAGGCCTAAAGCTGCCCAGGTCTGTTCGGAAACAGCTCATTCTGGGGCTGGTTGGACCTCAAGGGACAAAAGGACCTGGGCGCCGTGAGATTTATTGGGGGGGGGGGAGGCGGTGTTAGGTTTTACGTGCCCTGTCGCATGGCCCTCTCCTTTGACTGCAGTGTCCTAAACAAGCAGCTTGTTCTGAATCCAAGTGCCGCTGCCAGACTGTTTCTTGCACAGCGAGAACCCCAGTTTTCAGTCCAGAAGGTGCGGTCCCTGTGCAGCCTGTGTTCCCGAACCTCCGACGCGGGACAGGGATCTGAAGGGGGTGGGGTGGGGAAGGGAAGCAGCCCGGGCACCTGGAAACCTCACTGGTCAGGTGGTCCCCACGTTGCTGCCTCGTGGGTGCCTGTCCGTCCTGGGGCCAGTCTGGGACTAGCTCCCCTGCCTCCGCTGCTCCAGACAAGCCCCCAGGTTGTCCCAGCCTCCGGACAACCTGCAGGGCCTCCCCCCCACCACCCCCACCCAGGAGGTGGCCCCAGGGTCCCGGCGGGGTTCTCTGGAAGTTCAGAAAGCTGAAGCCAGAGGGCAGCCGAGAGCTGCGATGGGATGGGGCTGGCCAGGCAGGGGGAGTGGCTGCCACCGAGCTCAGCAGGGCTCCAGGCCCAAACTGGAGACCGGATGGGGGAGAGGCACCATCCCCAGGACTTGCCCTTGAGCGTTTGGCAGCTCTGACTGTCTCCTTAGTCCAGCGGTGCTGTTAGAAACCAGACAGCAGGCCCAGGATGCAGTCACTTATGCCAAGCCCCACGTCGGTCACCAAACCGGGACTTAGTTACAGCTGTGGCTCTCCCAGAACTGGAATCTTAAACCAGTGGGTCAGGAGCCGCCGATCGCACCGGTTGGAGCCCAGGTGAGAGACCCAGCCATCCCCGAAGGAGGAGTCACGTTGTCATAGTAACCCGCGTGTTTTGCCGGTAGAACCTCCTGGCTCCGCTCCCCTTTACCTAGAAAAGCCTTTCATTTTGTGCTGGATGCTGCCGGTTCGAATCCATTTTCAGGGGACACAATCCGTTCGTTGTGTCATCTCCATTTCTCTCCCTTCCTCTTCTCTTCCTTCGTTTGTTGGGCTGTTTTGCAGGGGACACTGGGCGGGGATTATGGCGTTACAGGGCCCAGCGTGGCCCCTGAAGGGTGACCCCTTGCGGGCGAACCCTTATCCTGGGCCTCGTCTGTCTCCATCCTGCTGCGTCCGCCTGTCCCCCGCGTTTTACCTTTTGCTAAGGAATTGCCTCCGTCACCTGATTGAATTCCCACCACCACCCTGGGGGCTTGGTGTTATTGTTTCTGTCCCACGTATTTTTTTCTATCACACTTGCCTGGATTATTTGTTAGCGACAGACCGTGAGGGTGGTGGTGGGAAGGAGGGGGCTCAGCCGGGGCCCCTGTGGCTCGGAGGAGAAAGCAGATCCGCTCGAAACTCCTAATGAGCTTCGCTGTCATTCCCTCCCCAGGCGCCTGACAGGCACCTCGGAGACGAGGGAAGCAGCATTCATTATCCGGTGACATTTCGCAGGCGGCTTTCTACCTCTGCCTCCCCTGAGAAGCAATCACAGGATGTGTCTGATCTTCCTGTTACCCGCCTCCCGGGCCGGCCACCCCAGCTCCTTTCATCCCTGCGATTGAAGCCGGCGGCCTCCGTCTCTAAGATGTGCCCTGGGCGACACCGCGGTCCCTGGGGAGACCCCCATGGCTTCTTCCTCCCTTCAAAGAGCCGCTGGGGCGCTTCCCTGCACGGGGTGGGTGCGCGTTATTTTCTAGGGGCTGGGCAGCTGCCGAGGGGGGGGGGCCTGGGTGTCCCCTCTGCCCCCCAGGACCTAATATGGAGGGGACAGGGGTAGAGGGTGGGGCCTTGGTCCTCAGCAGCTGGGGTGCAGGTGGCCGGAACAGGACTTCCCGGGAGCAGGTGGCTGCTGAGGGGGTGCTGGCTGGTCAGTGCGTGGGGTCGGGGCAGGGTCTGGGCTCCAGGGGAGCCGTCTACGCCGCCCCCAGAGGCAGGGCTTCCGGATGCTGTGGAGAAGGGCTCAGGGGTTCCCCTGGAAGGCCTGTGAGGGGGTCTGAGACACCCCCTCCTGAGAGACCTTCCAAATGGGGGCTCAGAGAGGCCGGGGGTCCTGCTCTCCTGCCCCCTCCAAGCCTCCACCAGGCAGAGCAGCCCCCAGAGGGGAGGAAGCTGGGGGCCTGCAGGGCTCTGGGCCCGGCCTCCCCCTGCCCCTCCCCTGCTGCACCCAGCTCCCCCACCCACAACCCCTGCAGCGCCTTCCAGGGTCCCTGCACTCATACCCCCACTAAGGAGTGGCTGGCCGCAGCCTATGGCCTGGAGTTTGGGGGAGAGTGGGGGTGGGAGAATGAAACCTACCAGCCCGCAGAGTGGCTAAGTTTGGTCTCTTTAGGGTCATTGGAGGGAGGGCTTGAAGGGACAGTTCATCAAGGCACCACCTAGTTCCTGGTCCCTGCTGTGTGCTGGACAGGCCCTGGGGACACAGCGGTGACCAGACAGAAAATCCCTACTTCTGGACCTAACATGTTTGCGAGGAATTACAGATACTAATTAGGTAGGAAGGTGATTGTGTGTGTGTGTGTGTGTGTGTGTGTGTGTGTATGTATATGTATATGTATATGTATATATTTATTATTCTTTGGTTCGATGGAGACACCCTGTGGCCTGGGACTGCCGTGCCCCCTGCCCCCGGGAGAATGCCCGCCTCAAGGGCACGAAGCCCCCAGCAGAGGGAGGAGATGGACAGACGTGGCCAGAGCTCTGACGGTGACGCACTCGGGGCTACAGCCAGTTCCCTGCATCTCAGTCGGTGAGCAGGTACAGTCCTCTCTCTCTGGGTTCCGCCCGAGTTGGGTTTCTGCCACCAGAAGCGCCTGCCTCATACCTTCCCGCACCAGCCCTGCCTCCTCAGAGGGCCTCTGAGCAAGTCGTGGGAGGGGACTGTGCCCAGAGCAGAGCGAGGGCTGAGCAGCGCCAGCAGGAGGCGAGCTGCTGACCGAGCTGGCAGGGCAGGGCAGGGCAGGGGGGCCTGTGTGAGAGCAACGGCCACTCTGCACGGGCGGCGCTGAGCCTGGGAGGCTGCCCGGAGTCCGCAGAGCCTTCTCGGCCATGACCGAGCGCCTCGAAGTGGCCCCCGCCCGGGTGTGAACCTCTCCAGGCCCCAGGACCCCGGGGAGCGATGCGTGGCACTTGCCCTAGAGCAGCCCTGGGGCCCCCCACCCTGGGGCTCCGGCCTGTGCACCCGTGAAAGCCCCGATGCCCCTGCCTCATACCTTCCCGCACCAGCGGTGCCTCCTCAGAGGGCCTCTGAGCAAGTCGTGGGAGGGGACTGTGCCCAGAGCAGGGCGAGGGCTGGGCAGCGCCAGCAGGAGGTGAGCTGCTGACCGAGCTGGCAGCTGGTCTTGGGAACCACAGGGGAGTCGCAGGACCTGCAGGGCCCCTCCCAGGAGAGAGGGAAATCCCGTTTCTCGTGTGGTCGGTGGAGAAGAAACAGCTTAGGAAACAGCAGCAGCAGAACGTGTTTATTGAAACGGCTGCAGTCAGAGGTGGCCTGCTGGCCGCGAAGGTACGTTTTGCTCTTTGGGAAAACAGCGGAAGAGGCAGGGGAAGGGGGAGAGAGAGAGATAGAGACAGAGGGACCCGCGGCCAGGAAGCCGGCACAGCTCACTCCAGGGACGGCTCTGCAGAGCAGCCGCCGTTGGTCTTGCTGAGCGAGTCGGCGCTGCCCATCCTCGAGTCCACGCTGGGGGCCATCTTGTTGATCTCCTGCGGCATGTTCTTCTGCCTCTCCTCCTTCTGCGTCTCCCGGTGGTAGAAGTAGTTGAAGTTGGAGACGATCACGGGCACCGGGAGCGCGATGGTCAGGACCCCGGCGATGGCGCACAGGATGCCCACGATCTTGCCCCCGGCGGTGGTCGGGCACATGTCGCCGTAGCCCACGGTTGTCATGGTGACCACGGCCCACCAGAAGCCGTCGGGGATGCTGGAGAAATGGGACTCCGGCTCGTCCACCTCGGCGAAGTAGACGGCGCTGGAGAAGAGGATGACGCCGATGAAGAGGAAGAAGATGAGCAGCCCCAGCTCCTGCATGGACGCCTTCAGCGTCTGGCCCAGGATCTGCAGCCCCTTGGAGTGGCGGGAGAGCTTGAAGATGCGGAAGACCCGCACCAGCCGGATGACGCGCAGGATGGCCAGGGACATGTTCTGCTCGGCGCTGGGCTCCGTCTCCTGGACCAGCTCGGTGATGACGGTCGCGAAGTAGGGGATGATGGAGATGATGTCGATGATGTTCATGATGTTGCGGAAGAAGCCGGCCTTGCTGGGGCAGACCACGAACCGGAGCACCAGCTCGAAGGTGAACCACACGATGCAGGTGGACTCCACCATGAAGAAGGGGTCGGTGAACATGGAGGGGGAGAGGACCAGCCTGCTGGCGTTGCGGCCGGGGTCCCTCACCAGCTTCAGCTCCCGGTCCTCTCGGAACTCGGGCAGCGTCTCCATGCAGAAGATGGTGATGGACAGGATGACCACCAGCACGGACACGGTGGCCACGCCCCGGGCGGCCACGGAGCTCTCGGGGTACTCGAACAGGAGCCAGAACTGCCGGTGGAAGTCGTTGGTGGGGAGCAGCGTCTCGGGGTCCTTGATGTAGCCCTCGTCCGCCCGGAACTCGTCCATGGCCTCGCTGCCCAGCTCGTAGAAGGCGATCTCGTCGGCGAAGACGTCGACGGGGACGTTGGCCGGGCGCCGCACCTTCCCGCCGGACTGGTAATAGTACAGGATCCCATCGAAGCTGGGCCGGTTCCGGTCAAAGAAATACTCGTTCCGCATGGAGTCGAAGAAGCGCATCCGCTTCTCCCGGTCGCCCAGGAGCGTCTCCGGGAACTGCGTGAGGGTGCGGAGCTGGGTCTCGAACCGCAGCCCCGCGATGTTGATGATCACCCGCTGGTTCCCTTCGTTCAGGGCCGCGGGCTCCGGCCCCGGGGGGTCCGGGTAGTCTCCGGGGAGCCGGCAGAAGGCCGTCTCGTGGCTGCCGCTGTCGCCGAGGAGCAGCTTCCAGCTGGAGAAGGGGCCGGCCCCAGGCCGGCCTTTGGGGGCGCTGGTGGGGTTCAGGTCCGGGTCGTAGCCAGGCTGTTCCTGGATTTCGTCCGAGTTATCGAAATTGACCAGAGCCACCTCCATTTCCTTCCAGCCGCATCCATCCATCCTAGGGGAGGCGGGGAGCGGAGTGGAGACCTCGGTCTTCCCGGCCTGCGGGGAGCTGCGGGGAGAAGAGGCGCGTCAGGTGGGAGCGAGGACGGGGAGGACAGCTGGCCCTGGGTCCTCGACGGAAGGTAGGTCGTTGGACTAAGGGATGATTTATGCTCAGCTGGGGGAGGAACTCCTGGTGGTTTTGGCAACATTCTTCCCTTGAGATCGGTTTGCACCCCGAGTCTGCACACACTAATAACTAGACGACATCGGGGAGAGGGAGCCGGGCCGAGAAAGGACAACTTTCTCCAGACAAAGGGGCCTCCATACGCGGTCGTCGGTAGAGGCCACCGTGGGCGAGGAGTTAACGTTTCCTGACGCTAACACGTTAATCTCGCATTTGTGTGCCGTCTCCCGGGGCGCCCTGCACTTCCGCGCCCCGTCTCACCCTCAGCTCCTTTCTGTCTCTCACTGGACAGCCAGGCCCTCACGGATTCTTTCGGTTTCAGCTTCAAGACACACCTGGAAGCCACCCCTGCTCAGCACCTGCCGCCTCCTCTTGGGCCCCGTGGCGGGCGGCGTGGAGACACAGCCCGTGGGTCCCGCTGGGAAGGAAGAGGTGAGGCTGGAGGCCGGTGGGCTGTGCAGGGAGCTCTCTGTGCCTTCGCCCCTGCCCTGTGAGGAACAGCTAGGCTTGCTCAGAGGGCACAGTCCATGAGGCAGCACGTGTACACGGTGGAAAGATCATTAGATTATAGCTGTTGTTTTCACCAGCTTCCCCACATCGCAGGAACTTTAGAGGCCAACAACTGTTGGTATTTTAATTTTATTTTTTGCATGTGTGTGGCCCAAGTCCAGGATGTTTATGGGAAATGATTTGATTTCTAAAAACCCCTTTCGGCAGGTGGGAAGAAGGTGGTCGTGTGTGTGCGTTGAGGGGGGCGCTAAGGGGAGCGTCCCGCGGGGCTCGGGCATCCACAAACAGCCTGAGGTTCCTTCCTCGGCCCCACGCACACTTTGGTTTCAACTTAACACATTGCGGATGGATCACGAGAATCCTCGTGTTTTCATATGACACAGTGTTTTACAAAGTATCATCCTTTAAAAAGATATTAGCTTGTGAGAACATGTGATATATATCTTCAAAATGCGATGGGTATTTAATTTTAAGGCGTGCCTTTAACACTGATGCAAAACGTGTTTTGTACTCGTTCAGTAGAGACTTATCTGGCCACTGGGTAAAGCTGGCAAGGAAACTCCTGGTCCGCAATGTGCTAAGGACACTGAAGGCAGGCGAGCTGGGGCGAGGGTCACA